TAAATGAAATTTGATGCATAGCCACTTGGAATAAAAGCAAATTTAACACGTTTGAAAATTTGGTTTTGCGCATGCGCAGTGACGTTTTAATTTTATGTTACGCATTCATATCATTACACACAATCAATTTTACTACACAATTTAATATTAATTTGACTGGTTTTTTTACTGGTAAGTTCTTTTTTTCCCAGCCTATTTCTATTATGATTCGGTGAACTACCATTTTCAAAGTTTATTTTTGCAATGTAATTTATTTCGACTTCAATTTCCGAGCTTTTACAATCATATTATAATTACGATCATTATTAAACAAACTTGTCACAATTTCAGTGTTTCATTTTACGTTCCTTCCCTACTGTGCTTCAGGAATAGCGTTGTTTACAACTAACGTAAGGGGTCCTGCCTTAGATGTTTGATCACGTGCCACTTTTCAAATTTAAGCGGGATCTTGTTTAGTTTTGGAGGGAATAGTCATTCGGGTGGCCATTTTTAAACGTTGCTGGGTTGACTTTATTTCAGTATTCTTATAGTGTGAAGTTAGCGTAGAACCCGGGGGGTTAAGTACACTACACATGTAGAAACTTTTCGCCTTGAAGAGATGGTCAGGGGGGTATCAAATAACTGTAACCATATGAGTAACGACACCTAATACCGGGACTGTTCTCTAATCTCAACTATAGGCTGGGAATTCCCGAACGAGGACCCATTGTAACCGTCGAAGGGACCAGACTCTGCTAACATAAAAACTCTTCAGTTTAGAATCTGTACCGCTACCTCGTTTTCTATACCTTGTATCCGATACGATTCTTTTGTGTTGGGACGTGAGACACAACAGGGAAGGGAATTGAATCAAACAAAGTGATTTGTGTGTAATAAAAATGAAATATATTACACAGAAAGCCAGGAAAAAACCAATGCAAGAGAACACAAATCCAACATTCCAAATCGTACAAATAAAATCAGGACAAATTCATACATAAAGAAACAAGTGATATACAATACTGTAACGAACCCCCGTTTTTCGCCGTGCAGTTTACCAGCGTTAATGATCACCCTGTATATATGGACGAATAATTGGGCGCTTCGTTACTAAGAAACAGTAGGTTCCAAATTTATTTCTTCTTGGAGCGAATATATATATATATATATATATATATATATATATATTCCCGTGTAAATTGGGTTTGTTAATATTTTAGCATTTCAGCTCCATTAGTTAGGCATTAACGGATTTCAGTTTCCCTATGATATTTTAAAACGAGCATTAAAGCTGCAAGGTCGTGCAGTAATAAATAAATAATAATTATCGCAGACCTGTTGCGTTACACTCGAAATTCCAGGTAATGATTGGCATTACTGGGCTATTGAATTTGGAAATTTTAATCCCGCAAATTAATTAAGCGCAGTAATTTAATAGTAGCTAATTAAATGAGTTGCAGAAAATCACATCTGAAACAGTCTTGAGAGCACTTAATTGAGCTAAATTTTAAGATCATTTAGAATTACCGATTTTTATGGTAGGTCGCCCAATTAAAAAAGTTTTAATTTTTGGACGTTATTATTCAAATGTCCCCCCCCCCCCCCCCCTCCTTGAAATAATCGAATTTTATAAAAGGCTCTTGCTTGAAGGGGATCTTTTTGCCTTAGTTTTAGAAACGTAGGATCTTTTGGTAATTTTTTTCGCTTCCGTTAGTTTTCCTGCATCAGGGTTGGCAAAAATCTGGGTTTTTGTATGCTTTGGGTGGGGTTTTGGGTATTTGTGTTTTTCTTGGCTATTTGGGTAATTTTTGGGTATTTGTCGAATTTCTGGAGCTCTAACCCCAAATTATAGAAAAATAACATTAATTTTGAACTTGACTGACCGATAAAGTAGAAAAGCTTGTAAAAATAATAAAAATGAGTCACTTTAAAAAAGAGAAAAAGTTATTAAATTATTATTTTTATTTTATTTTGTTCCTAATGAATAAGCCGTTTTGTATTTTATATTTTAATGTAAATTTTTTTGAAACTAGGAATAAGAATATAAGACTGGTCTATCAGTACCTGTCTGTTTCCAAGTAAACTACATTATATTTTGTTATTAAATACTATATAAAAATTATCTCGATTTTGTCTCTCAAATTCTTTGGGCTTTTGTATGGGTTTTTGTGTTGGATTTTTGTATAGGTCGTTGGGTGGGTTTTTGACACAAAAACCCTGTGGGTTTTTTAAATGGGTTTTTCGTTTTGCCAACCTTGTCCTGCATTTGATTTCCCGTAGCTACCGCTAATCTATTTATTGTGATGGAACCGAATTAGCCCGCTAAAATTCGATTTAAATATTCCCGAAAGCGACCCTGGCGCGAACAAAAAAAAGGTCAAGGTTGCAATTTGTTTCGTTTCCGTGGAACACGTGTTTTTTTTCTTCTCTGCTCTACATTGAAATGGGCCATAATTTACAATAAAAGTGTCAAATATAACACTATGCGAAAAAACTTAATGATGCCTATCGACTCGACGTCTCAGGGCACGATCGAGATTAAGAATTTTCGTCTAGGATTTGTTTAAAAAGGGGACAGAAGTATGTGTGCTTTTGTTGAGGGCAGAGGTAATTTTCCTGTTGTGAATAGTGGGTGCAGCTTCGACAATTACAAAGGTGATGTACTCGTTTTTTTTATCTCTACGTCTATTGCATCCCTCTAATGATGATATGATCGTGTTCGATTATTTGCCAATTTAATGTTATTCTCGTACCACATGATTATCGCCATTTATAACACATTCTAGATAAATTGCACTTTTAATTATACTGGTTCTACTGTGAATTACTGACCGATTTACGTGTTTTTATTTATATTTAGATGCAGTATGTTCCCTTAGGGATGATATTCTATACAAGTATGCAGAACTACATCTTAATTTATAATTGAATTTATTGCAGCGCATTTCGCTATTGTTTGCATGAATATGTTACTGTTTATTTACAGGGTGCCTCATCTGGGGGCGAGTGACGTACGTTAGGTGGTTGATTGTTACATATTGCACTTGGCATTAGGAATTAATTGTTTGATACTAATGTTTGCCACAACATGTTTCTTTGTGTTTGTTGTAATGTGATATTATCGTTATGCTCCTACTATTTATTTGAACCGAGTGATTATGATTATTAATATTTGGCAGGGTGACTTGTTTCGAATATGTACTGTGCTATATTTGATACCGATATAATAATCTCGATTTGACTTAGCAGAGGCTGGCTAAAGTTCAGAACTGACATACGCAGAGATTATGTTTTATGTACCTACTGTTTTTTTGTGTCTTTGAAAAGAGCCATCTTGACGATATTGCTAATCAATCCGATTAGTCGATCCCTGACATGTAGTGACCGAATATTGGTTTGGTGTCAGTCTTTGTTATGCCAGTGCAAATATGTCAACTGTCAACGCCTACATAAAATCTGTATATTTTGTTCATAATTATGTATGCGTGCGAGTTTGCCGATGGTTGCTCTGTTATTTATGTTATGTCATGATTTGTCTTTTGATCGGTTATTGTCAGTACTCATGGTAGAGAGCCTGGAGTTCGGTAATTTATAACCCGGCATTTTAAGACTAGTGGGTTGGACTGGCCCTAGAGATGTGTGAATGAAAGAGTTGGGGTCCCGCTAGTTGTACATGGCACTGCCGGCTAAGCCTGGCCTCACTTGTGCAGGGATTCGCTAAAAGCGTGCGGCGTGTTCTCGTTGTGACCTTATGGTTGTGTTAAACAACTATCCTTCCTATGTGAAAGGCTCTTCTGAGAGGCCAACTCCTAGCGATTTCATACAATGCTGACATGTCATGACCAGAGCAACTAAAGACTACTCGGTGTGGGATTTGGACTGGCCATCCAATATCCAAACCTATTATATGAATTTATTGTAATCTTTTAATGATTGTTTTTGTGTTATGTGTGTGAAATATTGATTCTTTAGGAATTCCAGTGGAGCCTGGGATTCGACATTGTATTGATGTACTTGACAACATGCATTTATGCCATTACAATTAATTTTGCTATAAAGTTCAATATTAATTTGTTGGCTGGGTTTTTTCTTGGTCAGTTCTTTTTTTCCCAGCCTATTTTTATATTTGTACTCGGTGAACTACCATTTTCTAAATTTAATCTTGCAATGAGAATTATTTGGATTAAATCTCCGTTTTTAAAGCATGTACTTGTTTTATTTGTATTCCTTACTTGATCCTCACTCCGACAAGCAACACATATCTTGTAGCGACTCTTAAAAATAACGTAGCAAGTGGTCCTATTATTCAGGTTAGGTAGCTCTGTCTAGACTAGACGATCACGTGCCATGGGGTTCAGTTAGTTTGGGAGGGAAAGTTTTGAATTTTAAATCTTGAGTTGCGCAGTCTCTCGGGGCTGGCCTGGGTTCATCACATTATGCTTTATTGCTTGCGTTCTCGTCAAGGCAATCGCTACCGTTCCCATGTGCATTCTGTGCTAAGCTACTGATTGTGCCAAACCTCAGACCGTTCCGAAACCGCCGACCCTGGCCAGAAACAAGGTTTCAATCTTCTGGTGGCGCTCGAGTCCGTCCATTCCGCCGACAACACATCCAGGTTGCCGCCTACTTTCCCCTGCTGGTGTGATTTAATTCCAATCATTGGTAAATTTATTTATTTTTCTTTTAATTCCACTAATTATGTTGTTTAATTTTTATACCATTTGTGTGCGAACTTCCTACCGAAGTTCGTCGCAATACAAATGGTAGAAAAGATCACAGCTACCGATCCATTTAGACAAAACTTGTAAAATGATAAATTGCAAGTACATAAAAAACATCAATTTGGCATGGCTCTGCTCCGGTATGGGCTACCATTCCCATTGGTGATATTGCTGAACATGTTGGCTGGGCGTTTCGTAAAATTCCTCACTTTCCCCGATATTTGTTGTTAATTAAAAAAAGATGGCAAAAGAACTACTATATTTATGATATTACAAAATCTCAACTTAATAAAAGGAACATGAAACGAAACATTTTACTTACTTTACAATTTTACAATAATAAAAATAAATTATTACATTTAAATAAACAATAACCTATTATTATTACTTTCAATGTAAACAATTCTATGTAGGTACCTAAAGATTACATAAAATAAACGGGGCGTAACAAAATATCTAATTTATATAATATCGAACTATACATAAATAGGTATTGTGTTTCTCACTCGGTCCATTTAACAGTTGTCAATCGCCTTGCCCTCCTTAATGATAACCTCGTCGATGTAGACGTCGACATTTTGTGACGACGTGTCAATCAGTTTTAATGTAAGAACGATATCGCCGGGACACAAGATGTCCTTCTCGACCGATCTCAGAATGGAAACGAAACTCTTTTGGTCGATGAGATTTTTAAAGTAGTCGCAATCGTCGTGACACCACTTGGCGTTTTTCGGCTGAACGTCTACAAAATACGCGTTAGCGAAGAACCGGACAAGACGATTTACCTAGCTTCGCTTTTATTGCTTGATAAGGCAATTTCAGGAATTTTTCTTCTAACGGGTGCAGCTGAGTGAGTATTATGTTGCCGTAGTAGCCGAAGTCGCTGTAGAAAACTGATATCGAACTGGGGTGAATTACCTTGATTACGCTGGTTCTGAAAGGAAGAGGGGGTCAGTGTAAGGTAACAGAAGGGTATAAAATTTAGACATAATAATTAAAAAGCCTTACCGATACCATTTCCCATCAGTGTACATGGACGCATAGACCTTCCCAGGCAGAATATCGCCAATTTGCAACGTACTCGTCCGAACGTTCTTGAACGCCTCCTGCATTTCGACCATGAGTGCGTTTAACTTCTGGACGTCGTTGTAGGGTTGCACCTAGAAATTGCCGTGGTCAGTCGACATGCGAGCATCGCGCGTTGGCGTGGCTTACGAAAAAGCTGTGCGGATGGACAGTATAGCACACTCTAACATCGAAAAACTGCCCGATCTCGGGAATCTCGGGAGGGGTTAAGCAACCGGCGGAGGGTAACCTCTCTGAAATTCAGCAAATTATGCCAAACGAATTAGGTTCAACCATGGTGTAATAGATGTACAAAAGTGAATTCATTTTGTGGTCAATGCTGTGTAAGAGAGATGGGTAGAAATCGACTCCAACCACGCCCACTAGTACAGTTTTCTTATCAAAATTATGATCGACTTTTGTACAAATTTCATCCTCTACAATTTATCTCATGTTATCAGGGCACTTGACCGTGACCCAGTCAGAAAAAAATCTTAATAGGTTCCTCCGTCCCAGGTTCGCTGAATCATGTCATATCACAAGACACTTAATTCAGCATGCCACCCCGCGCTTTTGGTTGTACACTCGCATGCCCACACAAATTCAAGGTCAACCTAATGACGATATCAAAACACAGTTCAAAGTCCAAAATTTGCTCACAGTTCAAAGTCCAAAGGTTGGTTACCAGTCAACCCCAACCCAAAGGTGAACGTGAACTCAAACCCAAACGTGAACGCGGACCCGAACTCGACCCAAACGTGAAATCAAACCCAACTCCAAACGTGAGCTTGAACCTGAACCCAAACGTTAACGCGAACCCTAGTCCAAACGTGAATCCCGGATGAAAACCCAAAAGTGAAAGCGTGGAACGAACACGAACGTAAACTCAAACGTGAATGCGAACCTGAACCAAAACGTGAAATGAACGCGAACCAAAACATGAACATGAACCCATACGTGAACATGAACCCGAACGTGAATGCGAATCCGAACGTGAACGCGAACCCAAACATGAACATGGACCCAAATCCAAATGTGAACGCGAACTTAAAAGAATAAAAGCGAACTCACAAGTGAACGTAAACGCGAACCTAAACGTGAACGCGAACCTAAATGTAAACGTGAACCCAGACGAGGGCCCGAACGTGAACGCAAATACGAACCCAAACGTCAACGCGAACTTGAACCCAATCCCAAACGTGAAATGAACGCGAACCCAAAGGCAAAATGAACGCGAACACAAACGTGAACTTGAGCCCAACCCCAAACGTGAACACGAACTCAAACATGAAATGAACGCGAACCCAAACGTGAAGGTGAACCCAAAGACGAAATGAACGCGAACCAAAACGTAAACGTGAACCCAGACGCGAACGCAAACGTAAATCTGACCGTGAACGCGCACTTAAATGTGAACACGAATCCAAACGTGAACGCGAACACAAACGTAAACTTGAACCCAACTCCAAACGTGAACCTAAACGTGAAAGTGAACCCAAAGGCGAAATGAACGCGAACTCAAACCAAAACGTGAACGCGAACCCGAACGCAAACACGAACCCAAACGTGAACGCAAATCCGACCGTGAACGCGCACTTACATGTGAACACGAATCCAAACGTGAACGCGAACACAAACGTCAAGTTGAACCCAACTCCAAACGGAAATGATCGCGAACCCAAACATGAAGGTGAACTCAAACGTGAACGCGAACCAAAACGTAAACCCAGACGCGAACGCAAACCCGAACGCAAACACGAACCCAAACGTGAACGCGAACAAAAACATGAACTTGAACCCAACCCCAAACGTGAAATGAACGCGAACCCAAAATTGAAGGTGACCCCAAAGGCAAAATGAACGCGAACTCAAACGTGAACGCGAACCAAAACGTGAACCCAGACGAGAACGCGAACCCGAACGCAAACACGCACCCAAGCGTGAACGCAAATCCGACCATGAACCCAACCCCAAACGTGAAATGAACGTGAACCTAAAAGGCGAAATGAACGCAAACTCAAACGTGAACGCGAACCAAAACGTAAACGTGAACCCAGGCGAGAACGCGAACCCGAACGCAAACGCGAACCCGAACGCAAACACGAACCCAAACGTGAACGCGAACAAAAACATGAACTTGAACCCAACCCCAAACGTGAAATGAACGCGAACCCAAAATTGAAGGTGACCCCAAAGGCAAAATGAACGCGAACTCAAACGTGAACGCGAACCAAAACGTGAACCCAGACGAGAACGCGAACCCGAACGCAATCACGCACCCAAGCGTGAACGCAAATCCGACCATGAACCCAACCCCAAACGTGAACCTAAAAGGCGAAATGAACGCAAACTCAAACGTGAACGCGAACCAAAACGTAAACGTGAACCCAGGCGAGAACGCGAACCCGAACGCAAACGCGAACGCAAACACGAACCCAAACGTGAAGGTGAACCCAAACGTGAACTTGAGCCCAACCCCAAACGTGAACACGAATTCAAACATGAAATGAACGCGAACCCAAACGTGAACGCGAACCAAAACGTAAACAAAGACGCGAACTCAAACACGAACCCAAACGTGAACGCGAACAAAAACATGAACTTGAATTCAACTCCAAACGTGAAATGAACGCGAACCCAAAATTGAAGGTGACCCCAAAAAATGAAAACGAAATGAACGCGAACTCCGAGAACGCGAACCCGAACGCAAACACGCACCCAAGCGTGAACGCAAATCCGACCATGAACACGCACTTAAATGTGATAACGAACCCAAACGTGAACGCGAACAAAAACGTGAACTTGAACCCAACCTCAAACTTGAAGGGGAACCCAAAGGCAAAATGAATGCGAACCAAAACGTAAACGCGAACTCAAACGAGAACGCGAACCCGAACGCAAACCCAAACGTGAACGCAAATCCGACCATGAACACGCACTTAAATGTGATAACGAACCCAAACGTGAACGCGAACAAAAACGTGAACTTGAACCCAACCTCAAACTTGAAGGGGAACCCAAAGGCAAAATGAATGCGAACCAAAACGTAAACGCGAACTCAAACGAGAACGCGAACCCGAACGCAAACCCAAACGTGAACGCAAATCCGACCATGAACACGCACTTAAATGTGATAACGAACCCAAACGTGAACGCGAACAAAAACGTGAACTTGAACCCACCCCAAACTTGAAGGTGAATAGAATCCAAAGGCAAAATGAACGCGAACCAAAACGTAAACGTGAACGCAAATCCGACCAATAAACCCGCACTTAAATGTGACCACAAACCCAAACGTGAACTTGAACCCAACCCCAAACTTGAAGGTGAACCCAAAGGCAAAATGAACGCGAACTCAAACTTGAACGCGAACCCAAACGTGAACGCGAACCAAAACGTAAACCCAGACGAGAACGCAAACGTCAACGCGCACTTAAATGTGACCACGAACCCAAACGTGAACGCGAACACATACAAAACAAATTTTGGCAATTGGCCCAGGGTGCAAGGTCAAATGTTGGCAATTGGGCTGGGGTGCTCGGTCATATTTTGACAGTTGGACCGGGATGTTATATCTAGGTTAGCGTTAGAGTTTGGGTTGGCGTTCACGTTTGGGTTCACAGACCTGTTTCCAAACAGAACTGAACCGAATGACCTTGGACTTCGGGCATGCGGAAATCTCAATGTCAAAGTGCGCTGAAATCCGCCTTTGGTAGTGAAATACTTTCTAGCCTGAACGTCAATCCAACCCAAACGTAGCACCCGGCCTCAACCTCCGAAATATGACCGCTAACCAACCTTTGGACTTTGAACTGTGAGCAAATTTTGAACTTTGACCGGCAATCAACCTTTGGACTTTGAACGGTGTTTGTAGTTTTGGTATCGCTATTGGGTTGACCTTGCAGTCGTAGGTGTCACCATGCGCAGGCGCAATCTTGACGCAAAACCGACTGTGGACCAGTCAGTCTTGTACACCGTCTTGCTTTTTTTTATTGGATTCAACCTATAACTATAAAATTATTAAAGCCTCTGTGGCTCAACTGGTTACGCGCTAGCCTTCTATTTGAGATATCGTGGATTCAAATCTTAAAGTCAATAAAAAATTTTTCTCCGGCAATCGCCGATCGCGCCAGTGGTGGGCCCGGCATCCAAAATGGCGGGGGCCAACTACCGAAATTCAACACTTGTACTTATTTCGGTTTTCCCTGCGCGCGATCGTGATTTTGGTAAGTTTCCACTGGCGCAAGTGTGATCGACTGCCGTCTACCACCTCTTTCTTACGTTGAACGACCACAAAATTGTTTCACAATTGAAGAAGCAATTGATGCACCTCTATCTATTTTACACTTACGATTTGCGTCGTCGAATTGATTGAGTGAAATCAGTCGTCGGAGTTTATTACTTTTTGCGTTATTATTCCCATCTCCGGCCGCGTTTCTGGAACGATGTCGTCGAAGTTTAAGTGGGAAAAAAAGCGAATTAGGTACTCACCGAAATCCGTTTTCAGGCACGAGTGACAGGTTGATAGAAAATAATACATTGTCGGTTTTGGACCGTTTGAAAAATTCTACGACGTGAACGTAATCAGTGTCCACTTTAATCAGCTTAACAATAACCGCCTCGTTCGGAGGCATTAAATCTCTCACACGATCAACAAAGTTAACGGGAACACTACTTAATTGCAGTCTTACTCTCAGTCCTTGTAGCGGGAACTTGCTAATCACGTCGCTAATATCACGAAGAACGTAAAAGTCAGTATCATTAACCTCGACGACAGTGGCGCGGCCGTCGTCAACGTGCAACACCTGCACATGCTTCCCGCCCGGTGCCCAATCGATTATTTTCACCCGATACCACAGATCGTCGGCCTTGCTCCTGATGAAGTACAAATCGTCGCCGTTCGATTTCGATACTTTCACCGGCGTGACGGCGGTCTTCTTGTCGACAATATTCTGACCCGCCTTCTCGATGAGCGACATCAGTTGCTCGTAGCCGACAGACCGCGACTGGATGTAGACGGTGCCGTCGTTCAAAGCGTGCGTGACGTACACGTCGGTGGGGGCGTTCTTGAACGAAAGCGTTAACGGCCGAAATTCCGCGCGGCGAAAATACTTACGACGATTAGGGCTGGCGTAGCTACCTCGATGCCTATATACGTGATTATCTCCTCATTGATAGGCTTACCTGTGTCTATATCGTATAGAACAACTGATAAGGTGGGGTCGCTTGGATCCGCTTCTAAAATAAGACAATCATTGAATTATTGTAGCGGCATTTTCGTACAAGCGTATTTTTAATTAAGTAACGAAGTATAATAAATAACCACCAAACCGCTAAAATCAAATCAACTGTATTTTCATTAACACCCTGTGTAATATAAATCGAACAGCACTACGTTAACATATTAAAAAATTTCAGGTGCAGATCTAAATTCTGTTGCGCTTGGTGTCCACCAATACCAACATGATGCAGAATTGCACGGACCGACTATAGAATTCTCAGAGATATTAAACCTCTCATAACCCTTTACCACAGGGATTGCGGCTCCCGACCTGCTATAAATACGAAAACCGATCCAGTACTCTACTACAAGCGACTGAGACTGGTCGTTTGGCTCTAGTCCCACACTTCTCAACCGGCGTATCACGGTGCCAATGCCTACTGGTATATATGTCTATTAATCTTAGGTTTTGTTGTTAATAAACGTCTTTCTTCACTGTTAATTGTTCCACAACAGGAGACCGTTTCTTCGATTTGGAATGGAAATTGACCCTTCAGCTGGGTTCTGCACGGACCGGCTATAGAATATAGTGGTCGGTTATTTTTAGGAATTTGTCATACTGATTATTGGTTGAAGTAACTTTTGATATTCCTGAAGAATTTGACCTATGAGAACCATTTGTATAAAAAGATTCATTCAATGATAAGCATTAGATCCAAGTTTCAGTGATTGGGAATTTTATTTGCAACTTTGAATTTCAGATCTTAGAAGGAAATGAGAGACCAAACTTCCCCAAGGTAAAGAGTATAAAAACAGTTGTATTACTGAGCTAGCCGTGGACAAATTAAAAATTGATTGTTATATTGGGATTACCTGTTGTTCTGCAAAGTTTTTTTTAAATAAATTTCTGCTAGTGCCGTAAAGATTCATGCAAGTATTTAAATATAACTAGCCCGTTACAAAGCCTTAATAGAAGAGTTAAAGAAAAATTAAACTGGAACCCACAGAATTGTTTTATAGTCACGTCTGACTGGCCATATGGCAAGAATTTCATGACAGTGAACGAGAATTGCAAACGGACTTTGGATAAAACCAGAATGGGTAATTTGGAAGAAATAATCGAGGAATAAAAAATTATAGAGTGGAACTGGGCCCACAATTATGTTTGAAGCCAATACCAGAGATCGAGAAAGTTTGACCGGAATAGCAAGTCAATCCATCCAGCCACACTTTCATAACCAACTTCAAGAACTATTTAAAGATGATTGATTAGCACCAACCAACAGGACAAAGTCAACCAAAGAAAATGGAAAGGCATCGGTTTAGCTTAACAGAGATAAGTGGAGTAAATGGGACGAATTCGAGGAAGATTTTTTGCAGTCGTAACAGATGGGCTCTTTGCCGTTTCAAAAATTGGTTTTGAATTTGTATTTTGTTCGACATACGAAAATTTACATATACCGCTTCATAGCGAACGTGAACGAAAGTATGTCTGGAAATAAAAGCGAGCTAGCCGTAGATTAAATAAAAATTGTCATATTAAACATTTTTTCCAGTGCCGTTATCACCTTCCAAGGGATGTGAAGAGATGGATTTTTTTATTTTTCGAATGAAGTATTAACATTTATTATGCATTTTTTTATTCTGTGTGCGATAATACTAAAATATACAGGGTATATACATTTAAAAACAAAAAATTAAGGCCATTTCGTAGAAAAAAGAAGACATTGTGAATACTACATGCATTAATATTTATTATATCGGTATACGCACACCAATTATTACATTGCTTCATACATAACGGAGATAATCGATCGTTCCGAGACTATTTACTTACCCTGTGTATATATAATAGAAAATTCGAATGCTAGTCTGTAGTTGAAGAAATAGAAACAAATACTTACCAATTACGACATCCTGACACTCTTAAATAATTTTGATTTCAACATTACGAAATTTTCAAAACAATGAGGGGGTACTGTAACGGGAGACGTAAGATAAGCGTTTTAAGGATGGGTCACTCTGTCTAATGTAAAATTTTATTTTTTGAAGGTTAAATGTGGCCGGTGGCTGGATTGAACACAATTTCGATCACAGTATTTCAATTCCAGATCAATGTTGTTTTGTATCAGAATTATTAGGTAATAATCTTTAATTCGGAAAATGGTAAACAACAATTACAGAAACGTCAAGTGATCACAAACAGAACATGTTTAATTTGTTTAAATAATCGTATTTGGTTATGATCTATTGTAAAGTTGGGTTATTATATTAGGGACATCTGGAAGGAATTGCGTTAAGTTGCGTAAAATTTAAGTCCGGTCTTGCGATAAGCAGTTCGTTATCGTTCCGTGAAAGCTAATTAATTTCAAGATAAACAGGTGTTCGCACAAGTAAACACAAGTGTTTATCGAAGATGCATATTCGTAGACGAGAAGAATGTTTTAAAAGGGCGAAGCAGACGGAAAACGGGGCTTTTTGGTGAGAGACAGTCAGTCTTGGTGATTGTAAAGTTCTTGCATGAGAAAGAGTTTTTAATTCGATATAAAAGTGAATTCAACTAAACTTCGAGTAAAGCTCAAGAGTTTTTTACCTTTATTACTTTACTTACCGGAATCATCGGAATTACTATCCTGCTGAACTTGCACAGTTCTGCTGAGCAACGTTTGTAAATGCTCGGACGATTTCGACACCTCGTACAGTTCCTCGAGTCCCGCGAGTCGACCGACGAAGGCCTGAAAACCTCCGCCTAAGTACGATACCGCGCGACGTCTCTCTCACCTGCGCCTGCACCTCCGCGAACTCCTGCTTTAAAATGTAGAGCGCGTCTTTTTTTATAACCCACTCGTCCCCGAAATCGATGCAAAAGCAGTGAATATCGTCACCGTTCACCTCGAACACTCGAACTCTACACCACCACGTCTCGGAAAAGGCGACGTAGTGCCCGCCCATTTGAATCGTCTCGGCGATCTCGTATTTTCCGAGCTTGCTGTAATGCGCCTCCATCTCGAGCGACATACTCGCGAAACGGTCCTACGGAGCGCGATCACATACGACTGAAAAAATTACAGGTCACTCACCGACTCGGCGGTCTCGCGCTGTGAGAACCAAATCTCGGCGGCCGAGTTGACGCACGTGATTTCGGCGACGAGAAAGCCGTCCTCGTTGAAGCTGACCGTGTTCGGTAGAACCGTGACGTTTTGGGCTTGCCGGCCGCTGAAATTCGTTTTCTGAAAAACCTAAGGTAGAGAAATATCGGATTGTAATGGTTAAATGTACGTGCAAGCGAAAGCAACACAGCGGATTAAGAATGACAAAGAGAGAGAATTGGATCTGACATCAGCAATACAAACCTCGCTCAGTTCAAGGTCGCTAGCTACATGGTGGTGAACTTCAAAAGTAGGTCACCACAAAAATTGGAGGTCATCGCATTTTGATAACCTTGAAAATGAAATGACCACAAAAACATTGTCCTTGAAAAGGATACGACAAAAATGGTTTCATTGACCTTGAAAATACAACATTTCACCGCAAAAAATGAAGAGCATTGGCCTCCGATAATCTTGAGCTTCAGTTTGATCTTAAGGTCACAGTCACGCAACTTTCACCTTGACTTACTTTTCAAAGTCACTACTAGGTGGCGAGCGACCTTGAAACACCAAAACAAGAACCAGTCACTATATAAGCATAATTTTTGTTATTTTTAAACTCTTCAATAATTTTTATTTCAACATTTACATTTTCAAAACAAGGAGGGGGTACTGTAACGGGAGATAATAAATTGCACTCTGTATACAAAATTTGACTATTAAATACATAGTGTTTTGTAATTGATTGACGTCAAGATTTCAATAGCCGTTGCCGTAGTAAATTTCCTTTAATCCCCATTTCGATTTTTCTATTGAAATGAGCTAGTCAATTACCAAGGGTGAGTTGTTTAGGTAAACCCAATCGCGTTTACCTTTTATACTGTCACGGACTATTACAATATCAGTTTAATTTGTATAATTTCTAAAAAATATGTTGCAATATTTCACTTTTCGTCCCTCTTTGCTTTCTCCGGGGGGAAGTAACCCATTAGGTCCTTAAATGGAAGACAAAATATGTTGGTTTAGTTCACAAAATGAAATGAGTAAATGATCACGTATGACAGAAGTATTCGGTAAGGGATAAGCCGAGGGATAAGCATCTTTTTTTTGGGTTATGGATTACGACAATATTCGGTAAGGGATAAGCATCTTTTTTGGTTATGGATGAAGACCTCTGCTTCAGTCTTCTTGTGCGATTCTGGGGAAGTGTAAACATTTTTTTTTAAATATTTATTGAATTAACTTTCTAATTTCTTTTATGCTACTGTGAATATTTTCTATGATTTCGTTTTGTTTGAGACAGATGAACAAACAGACGGATGAAGCACGCAAATATTTTTTTCTATTTCGGTGTCACAATGATGATTTTGTACAACTGTTTTCGGCCGAAAACAGTTGTACAAAGACAGTGATTATAGTCGTTTTTTTTGGTAACTCATTTCTTAAGTTGGCAGTTACTAGTTAGTACAAGTAGGTACTTCGTTGGGTACTTCCATGTTTGAACTTCAAAATGTCAGTCTTACTACGCTGCCAATCTAAAACTTAACGGCATAAAAAGTGTTCCCAACATAAAACATGTTAGTTCTAATGTTCCCTATAGTTTCTGATAATGATTTTTTTAATTAAATTAAAGCACCGAAATAGAAAAAATAGTATGAAAAACGCGTGTTACAATGCTTTATTGTAATACTCCTATCTTGCGGACACTCGTGGCTACGCTTCGCGTCGCCACTCGTGCCACAAGATAGTCGTATTACAATAGGTCGCATTGTAACACTTGTCTTTCAATATACTATTTTCTCCAACCACCTGAATAAGACGCTATTTTGTGACAGTGTTCGGTACCTAAAATTGACGTTTTGCGGATTAATCGCTTTCACCATGGCAACTGTACAAAAAGTGGATACTTTTGGTCCTAGTACCAAAAAGAAATTGACCTTGAAAGTTGGCCAATTAAAAAATTACAATCACGGAGATATGTCACATTGACATCGTTTTACATTGCAGGTTGTAAGATATTTCTATACATACAAATCAAATATTTTTTGCATATTCAATGCAAATAATGATGTTACCTATACGTATGTACATGTATTGAAAATGATTTACGCTCGCTATCTTTATTTAAACCATGTGTAACGTAATTTACATATTCCGTGAACGTAATTTTAATACGTATACAACCCGCCGTCGCGCGTAACGCCATCTACTTCAGACCCATTGCACTATTATCTGTCATTTTGAATTCAAAATTTGAAAAAGTTAATTGCAATTAATTTTAATTAAAAAACTGTATGGTAAGTTTTTTATTTCAATACAAAATATAACAATATTAATTGTGTATACAATAAAATGACTGAAACTGATAGCGACATGGATTGCACTCCGCCAGAGATTATAGAAACGGCAGAATATGCTACCTCAAGATTTGCTCCCTATAATGTCGCGAGAGGTGAGAAGTAAGAAGTAAAAACGAATAGGTTATAAGTTAACCTAAAAACTAGAGTGGCATGACACATGAGGACAAGAAAGCAGAAGTTCTTATACTTACTATAGTAGTGAAACTGTGACTGAATCTAAATTCGAATATAATTTGAAGTAAAGGGGGTTGGAGAAAAAATTTTATGTTTTATTCGTACAAAAAATGCGTTTTCGGGACTCGGAAGGTTGCTGGACTCCGCTAACGCGTCGTCCAGCAATTATCTTCCTCGTCCCGAAAACTGACATTTTTTGTACTAATGAAACAAATAACTATTGTAAAATTTGATTGAAATACTTTAAATGAAAAAATTAAGAAACAAATTAAAAAAAAAATACACTGAAAAAAAAATAATAGTCACAATTTAAAAAATTATGAATATCAAATACAAAAAATCTATTTTTGAAAAATATGAAAACTTAATTCCAGTCATATTTTTTTTAATTTAAAGAACCTCAAAAAAATAAAACTACACATAAAGACAGAGAAACCAAGAAAATGTAATAGCGACACAAAAAAAAAACGTAACAAAAATTTTGCTATTGTGCATATTTTCTTTGATTTCGTTTCATTTTTTGAAATTAGGTAGTTTCTGTTTTTTGAATAGGGAATAGCAACATACAAAAAGAATGCAACAAAAATCATACAAAATGTCAAATGGTTTTTTGCATTTATTTATATATTGCCTCCTTTTTCAATGTTATACGCGTCTTTTTCTCGCGTTTTGATATTTATGTATTTTTGTATTGTAATTTTTTTTATCTTTTGAAATTTGATACAACTAAGGTTTCCGCAACAAAACGAGCCCAAAAATAAGGAGGGTGGGGTGCAATGGATCCTAAGAAACCATATAAGGTGGGTTTATCTCCTATCGTTATCTTGCATTTCATACGCAAGTTTAGGCATGTTCAAAAACACGCCCCACAATTGAGACAGATGAACAGACAGATAGACGGACAAATCTCGCAAATATTTTTTTAAAATTTGATTGAAATGAAAAATGAAGAAATACATTTAAAAGAAATACAAAGATTACACACTGAAAACACTTTAAAAACACAAATAATATTAAGCCATAAAATTCAAAAACTTATCAAATACAAAAAAATCAATAATCTATTTTGAAAATGCCATTTTTCAATTTTCATGAGAAATTGTGAGGCATTCGAAAACTAAATTCCAGTTATATTTTTGAAATTTAAAGAAACCCACAAAATTACAAAAAAATACATCAAGAGAATTCAAGAAATAAATAAAATGCAATAGCAGCCAAAAAAAGAAAATAATAAAAATCTCAAATCGTGCAATAATGAAAAAAATGATCATGAAAAACAAAAACTTTTCAAAGCTATAATGCGTCTCTTTTTCTCGCGTTGTAATATGTCATTTTTATATCTTTTTAGGAATGACTGCATCACTTTCTAATCTTTATTTGCTAGTGTACATATGTTCTTTGATTTCTTGAGAAATTAGGTACTTTCTGCTTTTTTGAATAGGTAATCGCAAATGGCACAATAATAAAAAATATGGTTTTTCAATTGATTGAAATGAAAAAATGAAGAAATATTGAAAATTCAAGAAATTATGAATAGCAAATGTAAAATGGAATAATCTGTTTTTGAAAACGCCACTTCTCAATTTTGATGAGAAACGAGTAAAAAACTGAAAATTGTGAAAAATATTACAACTAAATTGCAATTATATATTTTTTTAATTTAAAGACCAACAAATTACAAAAAAAAGTAAATATATATACACAGAGAAACCAAGAAATAAAAAAAATGCAATAACAACGCATAAAAAGAACGTAACAAAAATAAAATTAAATTAAAATGAACAAAATTCAGTAAGGCCAGTTTTATTTTCACAAGATATTATTTTCATGTATTTTATATTTTTACCTTATCGTGTTTCATGTTCATAATCTCATCTTTTTCTGCAATAGATTTTGTCTATCTTTATATTGTATTAACATATACTGTAGTTGTCTACACTAATGGCAAACACCACAACGTACAAAATATGAATTTCTTATTTTTTAATTTTTTGTCGTTTAATGTTTTTTTCTTGAGTTTTTAATAATTTTTTTGCGATGAAAACGTTCACTTTTTTATAATTTTTACATTTTAGCATCTTGCTTTGCTCTTAATTAAAAAAAAATTATTTTTCAATTTAGATTTTTCTTTTTTGTATTGATCATTTTTTTGGATTTTGAGTTTTTTGCAAACAAGAAAGATGAAAAATACAATCTAAATAACTCAAAACGTGCAAAAAACGCAGAGTTAAACGAATGTAAAAATCGCCAAAAAATTTATTTGCAAAAAAACTATTAATTAATAAATTGATATAAAAAACAATGCCAAGATAAAACATGCAGAATAAAAACTGAAGATTAGGCAAAAACAGGACAATAAAAAGTCGCTAACTAGTAAAAAAAGGTCTGACAAAAAGAAACCTGAATAATGAAATAATTGCAAAATGACCTTATTAAAAAAACTCAACAGAATTTTTTGCATTTTAATTCACTTTTTGGAATAGTATTGTGAAAAATTATTTTTTTAATCAGTACATTTTTAATTATTTTTAACAGTTCATAATAATTGAAATTGTGCACCTAAAGTGTGCTTTAATTCTAATCCTAATTTAGTTAACTCCAATAGAATGGCGCAGATTAAGACAATTTTTACGTCATCCGTTTCGGTAAAGCGTGAATTTTAGGTTAGTGGGCTGAAAATTGAGAAAAAGATTAGTAGGACAAACGAAAACAAAGAAAAATGAGTGTTTTATATAAAGTTTACAAATAGTGACAAAAATCGGATAGAAATAAAAATAACAAAAAAAGCACATTAAAAATAAAAAAAAAATAATTTCCAGAAACCATGAAAAATAAGAATAAAATTAAATTAACAATAATGAAAGAATTTACGGATAAAATAACATGGGAAAATATGGAAAACTAAAAATGCTTGAAAATCTCAAAGAAATTTTTCGTCATTTTTTTATTCCACTTACTATTTTTTTCCTAGGTTGTATGTCTGATTTTTATGCACTTTAGATTGACACTTTTAACATGATTGTATATAAATTATTTTTATTATAACCAAAAAAAAACATAACAACAAAACCACATAGCTACATATACCTTGCATGCATATTGCATATAAAACATTGCACATCAGAATAGAAAAATTGGGCAATTAAAGGGTTATCATGGTATCCCCATGATAGACATATACGTATAATTTAATTATGTAGTATTTTTAAGAAAAAATTAAAATGCACAGTAAAAAAAGCAAAAACGATGAATTTTTTGAAATTTGAGTTGAGTGTTTTTTTTCTTTTGTCGTCTTGTCACTTTTGTATTGATTTTTTTAAAGTTGCCCTAGGTTTTGTTTTGTAGGTTTTGTTTTGAATTCTATCTCACTTTTCTTCCATTTTCTATGACATAAATAATAAGAATCTAAGGTAAAAAAGTTGAATTTGAGATTTTTTTAAATTTGTATTTTTGTCACATCCCCCTCGGTATATTTTCCAATAAATTTCTGAAGATACAAGATCAAAAAAAGAAAATTTGAATTTTAAATTTTTTCTAAATTTTTTTAAACGTGTTGGTTAGTTACATCTAACTTTCTTTTTCTTGTTTTTACAAATTTCGCATCCTATTTTGTAATTTTTCAATTTTTTTTCAGAATCGGTGAAAATGCAAAAAAAAACGTAAAAACTAAAAATTTTTGATTTTTTAAATTGCCATATTTTATTGTTGGGATTCGATATTCCATTTTTCTTCCAGTTCACGACACAATTTGGAATTTTTCACTATCTGATAACAATTTAAAACCATTTGTAAAAAAACATTTTCTACATTTTTAAGAAAAAATTAATTAAAAATCTAACCTAACGTAAGAAATTTGTAAAAAAATAAAAACGCAGTTAAAAAATTTAAAAATTAACATTGTTGCTTTTTTTGAAACCTGCGTTAGATCTTTTTGTTTTGATTCTATATCCGACTTGCCTTCCATTTCTACAAATTTTCAGTCCAATTTGTAATTTTCGACATTATACCAATAATGAAATAAATAAGAAAAAGAAAATCGAAAAATAATTTTTGAAATACATTTTCGCTCATTTCATGGCCCATTCTGTCCTTTTAGTAATGTTTATGCGAAAATTCAAACGCAAAAATCTAAAATATAAATTTGTGGTTTTTTGGCTTGATGTCTCATTTTTTTGTTTAAATAAACAAAAACACATCACAACTTTTTTTAACTTTCCCCTTATTTCTTTATTTATTTGTTGTTTCACTTTCAAGTCTACACATACCACACCCTATTTTGTAGTTTTCCACTTATTTTTGAGAAAAAATGAAAATGCAGTAAAAAACTGTAATAATTAAAAATGGTCGATTTTTTAAAATGATAAAATTAGCAAGATCAAAAAATGAAAATAAAAGATGGGCAGTGCCATCTAACATTCCTTTTTTTCAGGATCAGTGAAAATGCAAAAAAAAAGTAATTTTCGTCATAGCAATTAAAAACCTAACCTAAGAAATTTTTAAAAAATAAAAACGCAGTCAAAAAAGGTAGAAATTAAACTTTTTTTTAAAATCTGCGTTACATTTTTTTTGGTTTTGATTCTATATCCGACTTACCTTCCATTTCTACATATATTGACAATCCAATTTGCCTCCCAATTTTTTTCCGCAGATTTCGCAAGCCATTTTGTTAAATTTGTAATTTTGTAAAATTAATAACAAAATAAAAAATTCAAAATTTCGATTTTTTACTTTATATGTATTTGGTAGTTTATTCGTTTGTTACCTCCGTTTCACTTATTTTATTAAAGAAAAAAAAGGAATATAAAAATAAACATTTGTTTCATTTCTTGAAATTCGCGCTCGATATTTTTTCGAGTTTGTTTCTCTCACTTTTCGTTCATTTCTGCCCATCCACAACCCAAAATATTTGATTTTTGAAATTTGAATTTAGTATTGTCTCAATGCTTCCTTCAGTTCTACAGATTTCACCTCTCAATTTGTAACTTTCTGCTTATTTCTTCAAGAAAAAATGTAAACTCAAATTCAAAAAATGTTGAAACAATTGTTAATTTCTTGTAATTGGTGTTTGTTCCCCTCTCATTTCTGCACATTTCACAGCTCAGTTTGTAATTTTTAACGTATCTTTAAAAACAAAATAAAAAAATGCAAATACAGCAAAAAAATTCAAAAATTGTTGTTTTTTGAAACTTGTGTCAAGTTTTGCTTTGGTTCACTATCTACTCATGATACTCATAAATAATAAGAATTTAAAGAAACTTACATTTTTAATTTCTGATTTTTTGAGATTTGTGTTACAGTAAAACATCAATTACTTATTTGACTTTTTTTAAAATTATATATCATTTTTCAGCGAAAATGAAAGTACAAAATCAAAAAATAGCAATAAGACATCAAAAACTATTAATTTTTTTAAATGTATGGAATGTTTTGGTTAGTTCCTTCTCACCTTTTTTATTTTTGCAGATTTCACCTACGATTTTGTAATTTTCCAATTTTTTTCAGAATCAGTGAAAATTCAAAGTAAAAATATAAAACTTGTGACCGGTATTTTCATTAGTTTAGTCTCCCTTTTCTTTCATTCTTGCAGATTTGACACGCTATTTTGAAATTTCAGGATTTTTTCCCGCAAAAAACCTTTTTTTTAATTTTTGAAATTCGTGTTTTTTGCGGTTTGTTTGGTTTCACTTCCCCTTCATTCCTGTAGGTTTCACAGCCCTTTAATTTTAATTTTTTGAAATTTACCTAATTTTTTCTTTAGTTTTTTTGTCACCAATTTTTGAAGCTTTCACAGTCAATTTTTTTTAATTTTTGCAAATTTCACATCCCCTACTATTTTCCACTTACCTGTTCACAAATTGAAAATTCGGAATTCAAAAAAAAAGATCATGCAAAAGCGAACTGCGCCAAAGTAAGCAACGTGCACGAGTATAAATTTTTGTACTACAAACCTGACTCGGTTCGCAATAATTCAAGACATATTTATCGGCGATCTGCTGCATCGCAATATTGGGCTGACTGCTCAGAATTTCTATCCAATTTAACGGTAGCTGCTCGTTGTAGCGCGCGATGTAATTTTCCTGAATTAAGGTGTTCCATACTCCGCACGGGTGCTCCTTAACCATGGCCGGAACGCGAGTCAGTACGTCCATGATGTCGGAAAGCAGCAAACCGTAGTGCTCGGTCTTACACGACTTTTCCAATTCGTCAAGGGCCTTCTTCGACGCCTCCTGTTTCGCCGTCTTCTCGTCCAAGCAGTCCGCCGGATAGCTTCTGTAGGATTTTTTCGGATCGTTGTTGATCTGAAACGTGACTTCGATTACTCAGAGTTGATACAACACCCGATTGTTAAATACCGTTATCGTGCAGAAGAAATCGAGTCGATGACGATGCAGCTGCTTGGTGATCACTTTGCAGGTGATTTTTCCTAAATTCTTCATTGTGACGAAGGAGTTCAGGTCTTCCCAATAGTCACCGGTTCGAGGAATTTTAGTTATCTGAAACAAAGTGCAAAAATTTCAAAAAATCCACGAATTCTGGATATCATGGATGCATTTTATAATTAAAAAAATGGAAAAAAGAACTATTTTAAAATATAAATTTTTAAGGATTAGAAAAATAAAAACAAAAAATGAATGCACAAAGCGCCTAAAAAGTCAAGTGAAATCAGTCAAAAATAAGTTTTTGAAAGTTGTGTATCAATCAAAAATAAGCCCAAGTGTAAAAAATGTTTTTAAAAGTTGTGTATTTTTTGTTTTTTTAAATTTGAAAGGTGTGTATTTTTTGTTTTTTTAATTTTGAAAGTTGTGTATATTTTTTGTTTTTTTAAATTTGAAAGTTGCGTATTTTTTTGTTTTTTAAATTTTGATAGTTTTGTATTTGTTTATTTTTTGATTTTGAAAGTTGTGTATTTTTTGTTTTTTTTTATTTTGACAGTTGTGCATTTTTTGTTATACATATACCTGCAAATTTCACAGCCAAATTTGAAATTTTGTACCAATCAGTAAAAAATAAGCACAAGTGTAAAAAATAAGCGCAACAAATGTAATAAATGTAAAAAAAAGATTTTTGAAAGTTATGTATTTTTTGTTTTTAAAATTTGAGAGTTGTGTATTTTTTGTTTTTAAAATTTGAGTTGTGTATTTTTTGTTTTTAAAATTTGAAAGTTGTGTATTTTTTGTTTTTTAATTTTGAAAGTTGTGTATTTTTTTGTTATATATCTGCAAATTACACAGCCCAATTTGAAATTTTGTATCAATCAGTATAAAGTAAAAGTGCTAGCACAAAAATGTAAAAAATTAAAAAAAAATTTTTGCTTTTAAAATTTGAAAGTTGTGTATTTCTTGTTTTTTATATCCTATATTCCACAATCCAATTTGCAATTTTGCATCAGTCAAAAAAAAACAAGCACAACAAGTGAAAAAAGGAACAAAAAAGATTTTTGAAAGTACTGTACTTTTTTGTTTTAATTTTGAAAGTTGTGTATTTTTTTGTTTTTTTTATTTTGACAGTTGTGCATTTTTTTTGTTATATATCTGCAAATTTCACAGCCCAATTTGAAATTTTGTCCCCATCAGCAAAAAATAAGCACAAGTGTAATAAAAAATAAGCGCAACAAATGTAATAAATGTAAAAAAAAAAGATTTTTGAAAGTTATGTATTTTTTGTTTTTAAAATTTGAGAATTGTGTATTTTTTGTTTTTAAAATTTGAGAGTTGTGTATTTTTTGTTTTTAAAATTTGAAAGTTGTGTATTTTTTGTTTTTTAATTTTGAAAGTTGTGTATTTTTTGTTTTTTAAATTTGAAAGTTGCGTATTTTTTGTTTTTTTAATTTTGATAGTTGTATATTTTTTGTTTTTTTTATTTTGAAAGTTGTGTATTTTTTTGTTATATATCTGCAAATTTCACAGCCCAATTTGACATTTTGTATCAATCAGTAAAAAATAAGTGCTAGCACAAAAATGTAAAAAATTAAAAAAATTTTTTTTTGAAAGATGTATTTTTTGCTTTTAAAATTTGAAAGTTTTGTATTTCTTGTTTTTTATATCCTATATTTCACAATCCAATTTGCAATTTTGCATCAGTCAAAAAAAAACAAGCACAAGTGAAAAAAGGAAAAAAAAAGATTTTTGAAAGTAGTGTACTTTTTTGTTTTAATTTTGAAAGTTGTGTAGTTTTTTGTTTGTTATGACCCACATTTCTGCAAACTTCACAGTCCCCATCTGCAATTTTGCACCAATCAGCTCGCCAATCAGTCAACAAGAATAAAAAATGAAAGAAAAAAAAGATTTTTGCAAGTTGGGTATTTTTTGTCTTTTAATCTTGCATTTCAGCAAATTTCATAGCTCAATTTCTAATTTTTAACTTTTGAAAAATTAAAACACAAAGTAAAAAAATTATAAATTTTTGATTTTTTTATGGTTGAATAAACTGCAGTTTTCAAAACAAATATACGGGGTCAGGTTAAAAAGTTACTGTATTTTTGAATCTAAAAAATAGCATATTAAATTGTATTTTCAAAATTCTTTTTGAAATTTTGTAATCTTTTTTAATATAATAAATATTATAGTACTAGAGTTCTGAACAGAGATTTTAATATCTATCTTTTTTAATATACAGGGTGTTCCCTTTTCAAATTTTAATTTTACCATTTTACAAACGGAGATACACTATAAGTGTCGATAAGTGGACACCCGTAGAATCGATACAATTCAAAAAATACCCAAATTCAGACGAGGCACAAAAATTATAGACAAAATGCGAGTTTTTCTAAAATCAGAATGACGGGGGTCAGGTAAAAAGTTATTGGACCTAACCTCATTTTTTAAATAGAGCCCCTGTATATTTTAATTAAAAAGAAAGCACAAGATTCTTTTTTCAACAATCTAACACCAAAAAATTCAGAAATATTTTTTAATTTTTTTTGTATTTTTTAAAATTATCTGAACCATTTCTTAATGTCTTTAAATCTTTTTTAAATTTTAATATATGTTAGTGTTATATTTCTTTAGTATGCTATCTTTTGTAGATTAAAATATACAGGGTGTTCCACTTTCAAGTTTTGATTTTGCCATTTTAAAATCGGTAAAATGATTGTTGAATAAACTGCAGTTTTCAAAATAAGTATACCGAGGGTCAGGTAAAAAAGTTATTGGACCTAACCTCAATTTTTAAATGGAGTTCCTCTATATTTTAATCAAAAAGAAAGCACATAAGATTCTCTTTTCAAAAATATAAGACCAAAAAAATTCAATATTGATTCACAACGACCCAAAATATTTTAGTTAAAAAATTCAAAAATATTTTTGAAAACTTTTTTGAACATTTGAATCTTTTTTAGTTTATAATATACAGGGTGTTCTATTTTCAAATTTTGATTTTAACATTTTACAAACGGGGATGCCGTTTTCAAAATAAGTATACGAGTGTCAGGTAAAAAAGTGATTAGACAAGATTCTGTTTTCAAAAACGCAAGGCCAAAAAAATTCAATATTGATTCACAACGATCCAAAATACTTTAGTTAAAAAATTCAAAAATCTTTTTTGAATTTTTTTAATCATTTGAATCTCTTTTAGCTTAAAATATACAGGGCGTTTCAATTCAAATTTTGATTTTACCATTTTACAAACGGAGATACAGTATAATGTCGAAAATGGGACTACAGGAGAATCGTTACAATTCAAAAAATACTAAAATACAGATGAGGCTCGAAAATCATAGACAAAATGCGAGTTTTTGGACCCAATCTAATTTTTATAATAGTGCCTTTGTATATTTTAATCAAAAAGAAAGCACAAAATTCTCTTCTCAATGATTACCGCCAAAAAAATTGAATATTGATTCACGATCCATGATTGAAATTTTCTTGTATTTTTTTGAACCATTTTTTGAAGGTCTTGAATTTTTTGAATCACTTGAATCTTTTTTACGTTTTAATATATGCCATAATTATATATTTCTGAAAAGCGATTTTAGTAAGCTATCTTTTTTAGATTAAAATACACAGGGTGTTCCATTCTCAAATTTTGATTTTACAAACTGCCGTTTTCAAAATAAGTATGCGAGGGTCAGGTAAAAAAGTTATTAGACATAAGATTCTCTTTTCAAAAACGCAAGGCCAAAAAAATCAAGATTGATTCACAACGATCCAAAATACTTTAGTTAAAAAATTCAAAAATCTTTTGAATTTTTTTAATCATTTGAATCTCTTAGTTTAAAATATACAGGGCGTTCCATTTTCAAATTTTGATTTTACCATTTTACAGGGATACAGTATAATGACGAAAATGGGACACCAGGAGAATCGTTACAATTCAAAAAATACTAAAATACAGATGAGGCTCAAAAATCATAAGACAAAATGCGAGTTTTCCTAAAATTATAAGTATACAGAGGGCAGGTAAAAAAGTTATTGGAGCTAACTTAATTTTTTTAATAGTGCCCCTGTATATTTTAATTTAAAAAAAAGCACATAAAATTCTCTTCTCCAAGATTACCACAAAAAAATTCAATATTGATTAATGATCCATTATTGAAATTTTCTTGTATTTTTTTGAACCATTTTTTGAAGGTTTTGAATTTTTTTGAATCACTTGAATCTTTTTTACATTTTAATATATGCTATAATGTTATATTTCTGAAAAGCGATTTTGGTATGCTATCTTTTTTAAGTTAAAATATACAGGGTGTTCCATTTTCAAATTTTGATTCGAAAATGGGACACCCGTAGATTCGTTATAATTCAAAAAATGCTGAAATACAAATGAGGGGCAAAAATCATAACAAAATGTGAGTTTCCCTAAAATCAAAATATCACACAAATTCAATATTGACTCACGATCCAAAAAATCTTTTGGACATTTTCTTGTATTTTTTTAAATCATTTGAACCATTTTTGAAAGGTTTTCAATCTTTTGAATTTTTTTGAATCACTTGAATCTTTTTTAAATTTTAATATATGTTATAATTCTTTAATATGCTATCTATTTTCGATCAAGATATACAGGGTGTACAGGGTGCAACGAATAAGTTTGTACAAAAACAGAGTTGTAAAGGGAACTTTCTCACACCCTAAAATGACGTAATCCTGAAGTGGGGGGGAGTGGAGGTTGTTTTTGTTTTTTATCATTTTTTTTCAATTGTCATATCTTCACTACTCTTAGTCAGTTTTTTAATTCTGGTGTCACAATCTCAGAAAAATATTTCATTTCAAAATTTCAAAAATATAAAAAAATAAGCAGAAAAAGATGAAAACCTGCAATAGACAATAATTGAAAAAAACACAAGAGCGAAAATGTTAAATAAAAAAACTCAACAAAAGAAAATACAAAAGAAAGTGAAACCAAAAATGAACAAAAGCTCAAAAAAATTACGACTTACCACATCATTTTTCTTACTGGAATCTGCGTCCAACGGCGTCCTTCGCGGGGTGGAATTCATCTCGGACGCGACCTGGGGAACTTCGGCCGCGGGCCACTGTAAGAATTCTGGAGAAAAGGAAGGCGTTAGTAACGGGCTCGGGTTCTCGGGTACTTTCTCCTCGGTGATATCTTTCTGAGACAGCCTCAGTTTCGCCTGTCTCGACAACGTCACCTCTTTCTCGCTATTGCCGTCTAGGTCGTGCAGGGCGTGCCGGATGAGGTTGAAGGAGTACGATGGTTCCGTATTCGCTTCTCTGGGTCCCAGTCGATTTCGAACGCTCGGTTTCGGTTCCGGCTGAGTCGACGATCTGGTGGGTTCTGGAAGGCGGTTCGGCTCCGAGTACGTGGATGGCCGGCGCGGTTCTGGCGCGTTATATGAGCAACTCGGTTCCGAGTACGCGGAGGGGCGGCCGGGTTCGGCGTAATTAGAGCGATTGACTTCGGGGCCGTCTCGATTGCCCAATCGTTCCCAAACGCTCGGTTTTTTCGCTGGCGGATTCGGGGAGGATACAACCTGAGTGTGCGCGTAAGTCGCCGGCGGTCGCGGAGACTCGTACGACCTTTGCCAGTTTGTGGAGACGGTCCTAGGGCGCCACCTGGGAGGCACCGCCTGTCGGCGTGGGTTCTGGCGCGGCTGGTATCTGGGCGGCGGCCTACTGCAAATGGCGGAAAGTGACGCGACGCTCAGTGGGGGCGCGGTTAAACGTACCTGGTGGTTCGCTTCTTTGTCTTCTGCTTTTCGACGAATTTCGCGATGTGCGCCGACTGCTGGGTGACCACCGCGTCCACAAGTAATTGCCCGTTTTGTTGGGTAATCCTTAGTGTTGGAATGCTGCGTATAAAGAGTTCCAGCGTCTTATATCCTAGCTTTTGGTAGGGTATCTCACAGCCCATTAACATTGAATAATCGCCTGTGGAAGAAAAACAATTTCTTAATTCACTAGAAGGTACGATTATATGGTTTGCGCATGCGCGCAATGGGATTGTCATGCGCAATAGAAAATTAGCTCTGCGCCCGCACTTACTCTATCTTGCTCTACTCTGTTCTACTGTTCTACTCATGCGCACTTTAAACTTCTGCAATGTACGAAAGACATTAGAAGACGTGGTTCTAATAATAATAATAATAATAATGAGTATAAACATGAAAAGTCAATAAACAATAAAATTGACCTGTTCAACCGAATGAGGGGGAATGTTCTTATTCACATGCCCAGTCAGTTCTGAAATCGCTTCAGTGGCAAGCACACCCAAGAGAACCTTTATTGAACTCGTAAACCAATAAGTAATGCTATTTTTCCATCATCAATAGAGGATTATGGCACTAGAAGAACAAATTTATTTATTTATCTGTTTATTTATAGATAATCGAAATCAAGAATAAATTGGTAATTCTTGTGCAGATAAAGTGCATTTTTTTAAAACTAAGTAAATAACTTTTGTTTTACATCACCAATGGATATATTTCTAGCAGACGTCTCAATCGCCCTTTGTGAGTACCCTCTTCCGAAGGGAACCTACCCGATCACGATAAGAGGTCGAGGAGGAGGGCTATGATTGGTATACATTAATTCCTTTCGTTGAGACCTTTCATTAGAGTACCATGAAGGATATAACTAGTTCCACCTCCCCCCCCCCTGCCCCTCGTACGTAAGAGGACAGAAAGAAGGGCAGTACTTGGTAGAAAACGGTTCCTTTCGTTGAGACCTTTAATTAGAATACGAAGAGAGATAAAATTCATTTACCCCCCCTCAGGCCCCGTCGCTCACTGATCTCGAAAAATAGTCACACGGGAAAGTTATAGTTGTACAAAGCAATTTATTTCGATGAGACCTTCCATTAGAGTAAGTACCATGAAGGATAAAACTAGTTTCCACTCCCCCCCTCTCCTCCTGCACCCCGTACTTTGATAAGAGGACAGAAAGAAGGGCAGTAGTTGGTAGAAAACGGTTCCTTTCGTTGAGACCTTTAATTAGAATACAATAAGAGATAAAATTAATTTTTAAACCCCCTTCCCCTCAGGCCCCTGAATCATGAATCCTGAATCTTGAATCCTGAACCCTGAATCTTGAATCCCGAATCTCGAGTCCCGAATCTTGAATGCCAAATTTTGAATTCCGAATCCCCAAACTCCATCCCGAAACTTGAATGCCGAATTTTGAATCCCGAACCTTGAATCCTGAATTCCTGATCCCGAACCCCGAATACTGAATCCCGAATATTAAATCCGGAATCCTGAATCTTGATACTTGAATCTTGAATCATTAATCTTTAATTTTGAATCTTGAATTTTAAATGTTGAATCTTGAATCCTAAGTCTTGAACTTGAAGTTTTGAATCTTAAATCCTGAATCTTGATCTTGATTCTTGAATCTGGATTCGTGAATCTTGAGTCTTGTGTAACTTGAATCCTAAATCTTATAATTAACTTAACCGTCTTTAATCTTGACCCTTTGACTCGCAAATTTTCAATCTTGGTTCGTGAACCTTGAATCTTACATCTCTTGCGCCTTCTTGAATCTTAAATTTGTTGAATTTTTTGTTATTTTCCTTGGATTTTCTTGAATTTTCCGAAGTTTTCTTGAATTTGCTTGAATTTTCTTTTAGAATCTTCATGTATCTCCCTGAATCTGAATCTTACCAAATCATCTTGAATCTTCCTCAATCCTAAACCGTCATGAATCTTCCTGAATCCTTCTGAATTGTAGTGAATCTATTGAATTTCCTGAATCTTTAATCTTGAATTTTGAATACTGAATCCTGATATGAATCTTGGTACGTGAATTTGAATCGTGAATCCTGAATCTTGAATCTGGAATCCTGAATCTCGAACCCTGAATCTTGAATGCCGAATTTTGAATCCCGAATCTTGAATCCTGAATTCCTGATCCCGAACCCCCAATACTGAATCCCGAATATTAAATCCTGAATCTTGATACTTGAATTTTGAATCGTGGAATTTGAATCTTGAATCATTAATCTTTAATTTTGAATACTGACATCTGAATCTTGATTCTTGATTCGTGAATCTTGATCCGAGAATCTTGATTCGTAGAAGGGTAGAAGTAGAACAAGTAATTACCCCCCCCCTCCCCCCAAATTTTCTAAAGTTTAACTTGGCACCACTAAAGCCATGCGTATGCAAAATCCTCGGCAAAATCTGAGACCAATTGGTTGTCGTATGTAAAACTTATACACGTTTTACTTTCAAAAACAGCATCTCGGAAAATAGTTCGTGAGGGGGCCCCCTTTTTAGACAACGAAATTTGATGGCCGTCTGGCACACCTTCAAGGTATGGGCTACCTACTGCAAGGGCTCTAGCACCACTCCCCTACAAGTAGTTCGCAACGACAGAAGTGGTTCCGGACGGACAAAAAGCAAACAATGGCATTTTTTTTAATTCTTAAAAAATGTGCTATAAAAAACCTGAAGCCTGAAACCTGAAGCTTGAAACCTGAAGCCTAAGACCTGAAACTAAGTCTAAAAGCCTGAAATCTTGAATTTGAAGCCTATAACTTGAAACATGAAATGTGAAACCTTAAGCCTGAAACCTAAAGCTTGTAACTAGAAGCCTAGAACTTCATTCCTGAATTCTAAAACTTAAAATCTGAAACCTGTAGACTGAAATCTGAATCCGGTAGCCTGAAACTTGAAGAATTTTATTCCTGAATCCTGACCAAAAATTTAAAATTCAAAACCGAAAGACTGAAAGCTGAAACCCAAAACCCGCAGCCTGAAACTTTAAGTTGACATGAAACCTTAAATTTTAATCCTGAAACTTGCAACCTGCAGCCTGAAAATAGTAACTTTATTCTTGCATCCCAAGTCCTAAAATCTAAAACCTGAGACCTGAACCGCGCAGCCAAAACCTAAAACTTGAGGGTTGAAACCATCTGAACCCCGTAATATAGAACCTGAAACCTAAAGACTCAAATCCAAAATCTAAAACCCGGAGTCTGAAATGTTAAATTTACAACCAGCGGCATGAACCTTAAACGTAGATGAAGAAACATGAAACCGGAAATACAAAACCTGAAGCGTGAAATCTGAAACCTGCGAACCTGAAACTTTTAACTTTACTCTAGAATCCCGAGACCTAAAATCTAAAACCTGAAGCCTAAATCTTGTAATCTTATACCTGAAGCCTGAGGCATAGAACGTGTACCCCGAAAGCATGAAACCTGAAGGCCGAAACCTAAAAGCTGAAACCGCTGGCTTGAAATCGTGACTCTGCACCCCGTAATTTAGAACAACTGAAACCGGAAATTAAAGCTTGAACCTTGTAACTTTATTCCTGAATCGTGTAAAACGTAAAACCTGAATCCTAAAATTGAAGCATCTAACATGAAACCGTAAACGTGAAACAAGAAATCTTAATTCTGAAACCTGGAATTGAAGCCTGAAGCTTTTAATTTTATTCTTCGATCCTAAGACTTAAAATCTACACGAAGCCTGAGGCATAAAACCTGAACCCAGTATGGTAAAGAATGATATCTGAAGGCCGAAACCTAAATCCAGAGACATTTAAACCTTAAACGTAAAGCCTAAACACGAAGGCGTCGACGACCAGGCGTCTGAAACCTGCAATTTGAAGCCTGACATGAAACCTTCAGGCTTGAAATTGTCTGAACCTAAAGAATGAAATCTAAAGCCTAAACCCCGGCGCTTGAAACCTTCAAATTGAAGTCTGTGATCATGAAACCTTGAACGTGAACCAAGAAATCCTAATCCTGAAACCTACAGCCTTTATTCTCGAATTTTGATTGTTGCCTTATACATGAAGTCTGAAACCTGAACCACGCAAATTAAAACCTGAAACTTGAATCAAAGCTTGAGGCTTAAAACAGCCTGAACCCCGTACTTTAGAATCTGAAACCTAGACTGGAATCGGAGGCCTAAAATCCACAGCATTAATAAAATCGAAACCTGTAACCTTTTTGAAGCACAATATGAAACCGAAAACTTTATTCGTGAATTCTGAAACCTAAATCTAAAACCTGTAGTCTTACATTTGAAGCCTAATGCATAAAACCTGAACCCTGCAAGCTAATGTATGACACCTGAAGGCCGAAACCTCAATCCTGAAACCTGAGGCTGAACCCAGTATTTTAAAAGCCTAAAACCTTCAACTTGAAACCTGTGATAAAATCTTAAATTTTTATTCTAAACCCTGAAACCTAAAGTTTGTAACCTGAAACTTGAGGTATGATGCCTGAAACCTGAAGGACAAAGAAACCGTAAAACTTGAGGTTGGAAACCGTAAGTCTGAACCCCGTACAAAAGCCAGAAATCATAAATCTGAAACCGGTAGCCTAAAACCTGTACTCTGCAAGCTTAAGCATGGAACCTGAAGGTCGAAACCTGAAAAGCATGAAGCCTGAAGTAATTTAGAACCTAAAACATGGACTGGAGCCTGAAACATGTTCTAAAATCCGGCGCCTGAAGTCTTCAATTTGAAGGCCGTCAAGAAACCAGAAATTCTGAAACCTGAACCCTTTAATCCTGAGACCTAAAATCTGAAACCTGACATCGGCACCCTCAAACTTGAGGCATGAAACCTGTACCCTGCAAACTATAGCCTGAAACCTGATTCCTAAAACTTGAAGCTTGAAACCTTTTGAACCCTGTAAGTTAGGACCTGGAGCCTTAAGCCTTATCATCCAAAGTTTTAGTAAAATCGAAAGAACCTTTGAAGTCTGTGGCATGAAACCGTAAGTACGAAACAAGAAAATTTCAATCTGAAACCAGAAGCTTGTCACCTGACGCCTGAAACTGTCAACTTTATTCCTGAAGCTTAAGACCTAAAATTTGGAATCTGCCAAACCAGAAGCCGAAAATTGTCCACTTCATTCTTGAATCCTAAGACCTAAAAATTTAAAACCTTATACCTGAAATCAGAAACCTGAACCA